AATAAAAATAATTGGTTTTTATTATTCTCTTACTTACTGTATACATATACGAGAAAATTTACGATTTAATTTGATTCTATACACACTATATGTAGTATACGCGTTTTTATATACGACTGTATATAAAGTCGTATATGTAAAAGTCGTATATTGTCGGTTAAAAAGCAGAAAGCATTAAGTCAGGAAACTGTGTTTTGAGTAAATTCAATTTGAAATAATCGTAAAATTGTAAAACTAATCAATTAGTGCAATGGGATTGGTCTCTTTAATTTCTGGATTTATAAACTACATTTTGGATTTGCATGATTTTTTGCCACAACAAATATTATATTATTCTGATTTAATTCATCTATGAAATCCGAATTCTCAAAAAATGCACTTAGTGCTTTCTGCTTTTTAACCAACGATATATAAAGTCATATATGTACTATTATTCTTTCCCTAACTAACTATTAAACATATTATAAGTATAACTAAACTCATTATAATAGTAATTAATAAAACCAACACACCTTATCATACTATCGTAATACAATATAGAAAAGCTATTTATTATAACAAAATAAAAAATTTTATAACTCAATTTTTTTTTTTGTTTTATCTTTAATCATCTTTAACTTTATATTTTAGTAATAAATTTAATTTATATTTTTTGTATATACTTGAAAAACTAAAAATTATACAAAACTAAAATCAAAAGATAAGTTGATAACAGTTGACATGTTTCCCATATATCCGATTATTATATTGTTAAGCAGGGAACAACAAAATGTAGTATAGTTAATATTAGTGTATATAAAAAAAATCTCAGGAGAATTTTTTTTTTTTTTTTGAAATATACAAGAATTATTATAAATAAAGTAGAGACTTTTTATGAAAAATGTTTAAATATTTTATGTAAAATTGGCTGACACGCATGTTTTTTTTTTTGTTTTGTTCCATAGACAATTTAACAATTTATACGAAGCAAATTTATTTCTAACTTCCTAAATTTATGTTAACATTTTTCAAGGAAAAAAAAAATTTACGTGCGAACAATGAAAAATTTATGTATGAATGTGCATATGTACGTGTAAATATTTATGTATATAAAACATAAAACATATTCTGTCATTATAGTTTTTTGTTTAAAGCACGCAAAATTTATAAAATAATATGTTAGAAAAATATATATGTATAAATTTATTTTTGAAACTAAACTTTTTGTAAAGATAACATGGAATGATAAAAATTAATGGTTATAGGAGAACAAGGTAAAACAAGTGTCGCCATTTAACAAGAACAAAATTTTATTAAAATTATAAAAAATTATTATATTTATTTATAAATTTTTTAAAATTTATTAATTATTAATTTTATATATATTTTTTTTTTATTTTTATGTTGAAAACGCATATGATTTGAAAATAAATTTAATTTTTCGAACAAAAATACGATCATTGATCTAAGGGCCTAAGAGAGATGTCTGCAGGCGCTCTTATTTTTTTTTAACAATGGGCAGGATCAGATGGGCTATATTTTCTTTTAAACCTTTCAAATCACCCGATGAAGACGGTGTATTTGCCGCGTTGCTGCAGAAGGATTTTCATTATATTGCCAAAACATTATCGGAGATTTTCCGTGCCACATATGTTCGCGCCAGTTATTGTATTTCAGAATCGTGGCGGGTAGCCAAGGCGACGTACATCGACCAAGTGAAACGACCAAGTAACCACTCGAGGTCTTTCCGTTCAATCAGTCTTGTTTCTTTTCTATTAGACGCTATGTAAAGGGTAGTTATTAGATACATTTAGGAGGATATACTGGGGATCAGCCCCTTGCATGAGTCCCAGTATGTATATCAGCCAGGAAAATCAAGTGCATTCGCTCTATAGAGTCTAGTGAGGAATATCAAAAACTCACTGGTTGAAGAAAATTGGTGTACTCAAGGCGGTCTTAGTATCTCCCAGAGCAAGAGGTAACTTCAGATACTTAACCTGCGTGGAGCAGAGCAAATACGGCCTTGTGGGCATGTAAGAGTTTTGTTGGCAAAACCTGAAGCATTATTCTTAAGGTAGCACTTAGATAGTACGTAAGGTTGAATAATAAAGTGCGTGTATTAAGTATTTTTCAAATCATTTAGTGATTCGATATTCAGAAGAAGACAAAGTTGAAATAACAATGTTGCCTATAGTAATAATTATCTAGAATATGTGATTATGTTGAAAATTAAACTTTTTTATTCTTATTCAAACAGTTTTCAAAAATTTTATAAAAAATAAAGGTTGAACGTTATTATTTCAAGAATGTTTCCTTTTCTTTTTTCATTTTGATTTTTAAAATTATTGAAGTTATTAATAAAATATTTTTATTTTTGTTTTCTTTGTTTTTCTTTTTAAACGAATTATAATTAAAGTTTAACCTTATTATAATCAAAATTTCTTCCCGAAAAATAATAGTTTTTCTTTTGTGTTGCTTATGTTATCATTAAAGAAAATCTTTCAAATTATTAGAAAATTTTTTAACTTTCAATTGCCAAGGAAGTAAATAAATAAAACAAAAAGGGAAAACGAAAAAAAAAAAAACAGGGAAAAAAAATATGAACGTTATTAAATATTTTTCTTCTGAAGAATTTGCTCTTTTTTTTTGTTTTCTTTTTATATTTTTGAATGAAAATTAAAAAAATATTTTCTCCAAAAATAATATTTTTATTTCTTTATTATTCTTTATTATCATAATTGTATTTTCATCTATGAAAAATATTTCAAACTTTGATTCATCTTCAAGAAAAATAACAAAAATTAAATTTTTTTTTCTCTCATTTTATTAAATTATGTAGGAAAAAAGGAAAAAGAAAATGGTTAGAAAATAAGAAAAATAGTATTTCAGTAAAACTATAAGGATTAACAAGGAGTCCTGTTATTAAAGTACATATACAGTCGTGTGTTGCGGTACCTCATACCGCAATTAACATTTTAACTGAATTTGATTTAATAGAGTTTTTGTTTTAGATTAAAAAGTATTCTGGATAGAATCGAAATATTTGTTAAAATTCGCTGCAAACAACATCATTTAAAAATTTCCGGTATTACCATATTAGGAACATTGTTATTATAAGTTATTCAATTATTATTTTATCAATTATAATTTTCTTTTTTTTTTCATTTTAGCATAATGTCAAAGTCTGGAAGCCTATATTATAGGATGTCTATGTGGATTATGTTGTTATGAATTCCAGAATTAGTGTTCAGTAGAAATAAATATCGAAAATTACTTTGTACAACTGCAGAACAAACGGATAACGTAGCCAAAGGAACGAGTGAGAAAAATTAAAAAAATTTTCTTCAACTGGAATCGAACCAGTGAATTGAACTAATTCCAGCTTTTTAGGTAGAATGTTCATAATGTTGAACATCAACTATAAGTGCTCTCAAAAATAGTTTGATCACACATTATATCGCTGACTCGACCTGCATAGTTAAAAAAAGGAAATTATTTTGAATGTGCCATCAATTTTGGAAATAGCTACTAAAAATTAAGTTCATAGTATAAGTTTTAAATAGATTTTTTTTTGCTATTACTATTTAATTTTATTAAGAAATTAAGCATTCAATCCAACTAAACGTTTATATATGAAATTTTTTAATGTTATATGGTATTTTACATTAAATACTGTTTATGTAAAATACCATACCCTTTAAAATTGTTTTTCTCTTATAAAAAAATTATTACGGAAGTAAAAATATTTTCACATACAAAAATCTGAACATTCCTCAAGAATGAAGTAAAAATATTTTTCTTATATAATATTTTTGTATTTCTGATTTAGTTTTAAAATATTTCTAAAAACTTTTCACGTCTGTATTTAATATCATGTTCTTTTTATATTGAATCTACATATCTGCATACATACATGTATACACATTACATAAATATTTTTCTCTAAATTTATTCATAAAAGGTAGTTACGAGTATGTTTTCTGTTTTGTACCTTACCTATGTTATTTTATTATATTTTTTTTTCCTTTACGTAGGTCTATTTATATTTTGTGTAACGACGTGCAATATAATATATACAGGTGTATAGTAGGTACATAACGTAGTAGGTAAAATATGCATGGTATAGATAAAAATGTTCAAAATTTGTTTTTATTTTTTCTTCAATTTAACTTTAATTTTACATTGCGTACTTACATGTAGTACAGTAGTTACCATAGAGTAAGTTTTTATATATTTTTTTTGTTATGCAAAATGAAAACTTGTGAAAAAAAAAAATTGTAATTTCTTAACAAAACGCGTATATTTTTGGGCAATCATAGATACCATTTTTGTAATAAACGCTTTTTTGATGGATTACATGAGGAAGAAAAGTGAGAGAAGAACACAAAAATCATGAAAAAATATTAGAAAATCGATTTAATTTCTATTTAAAAAATTTTTTTTTTTTTTTTTTGAAAGGCGTGTACATATTTTTGTAGTAAATGTCAGGAATTCTTTCTTATATAATTTGTTCATACAAAATAATGAATAATAAAACACGCGTTTTACAAAAATTAGAACACAATGTTGTTGTACCTTGTATTCGAAAATCAGAAATAAAAATAAAAATATTATTACATGTTGCTTAATTGCTTTTAAGTAAAACCCACGATAATAATAATGTAAATTCTATTTTTAACTTGTTGGGATTATTATAATTATGTATTTAAAATCTGGTTAATGTTTCAATGCAAGATTGTTGTTAAATTTTGTAAATTTTTTGCAATACGAGTATTCCATTGATTGGGAACGCAATTAGCTGTAAAATTATTTAAAATTTTTGTTTTGTTTAAAATTCCCTTAGAAATTTATTTCGAAAAAGAAGTTTCTAGTGGTTTTATTAAATACTGATTTAATGAAATAATTTACTAATTTGCAATTAAAATTGGGTATAGAATGTGTAATTGCGAGTATTTCAATTATATGGTATAGTTATAATAGCATGTTAATTATATGTTAGCTAAGTTAGAATTATCAGTTACCTGAATTAATCAAGTTATCAAGGAGAATGTCTGGCAATATATGGAGTACCTCTGAGAATTTCATGGCTTAAGGGCCTTCTTTCGTATATGCATAGATGATTTTTAAACAATTTTTCAATAATGTAAATTTCTGTAGAAATGAATTTGAATTACTTGAAAAAATTTCAATAACTTTAAAATAAATAGAGAAAAATATTTGAATAATAAAATTTTTTAATATAAAATGGATTTACACTGAAAAAAAAAAAAATTCATGTTATTTTACGTTTTTTGTTATTATTTTTTTTTTGGAAAAATTCTTTTAAAAAATTAATTGCATTGCAATATGGTAATCTTAATTTTATTGTTGTTGTTATTTCGTATTTAATTTATAATTTTAAATAAAAAAATGTATGTGTTTTACTTGTTGTACCAGTACGAACGTATGTTTATTCCCTTATATTAAATTCGCAATTCCGTTTGTAAAACTAAAAAATAATGGTCTGTTATATAGACATGCATGCATACTATTATTTATTGCCGAATTCTGAAGCGATTAAGCCTATTTCGGTTCGTCATATAGTGATAACTTAAAAGTCGATTTAGCCCAGATCTATACCAAATACCAGAAGTTTAATTAGCTATTCTACAACTTCATACAGGTATCACAAAATTGACATAATCAACTATATTATTTCTCGCTTGCTTTTTTGATATTTTCTTACTAAATCAGTTTATAGTAATTTGTGTAAAAGTGTTGAGAAAACAATTATCAAAATATAATATGTTTTTTAATTTATATTTTATAGTTATTTAAGTTAAAAAATTTTTATATTTTTTTAATTAAAAAAAAATATGTAATAAATTTGTTTGTAATTTGTTTAAGACAAAATTGAAATTGAAATTCAAATAGGAATTATACTTTCTATATAGAAAATTTTTAGTATCTTCTATTTACATTTTGTGTTTTTGCTAAATTTAGTTGAATAAATCGAGTAATAATTTGTACATAGAATGTAATTTGTAAATGTGTGGGTATATGTATGTGAAAAAAATAAACATGAATTATTTTTTTTTTTCTTACAAGGTTTTTGCCTTGATTTTCTTTTACTATTTTGTTTTTTTTTGTGAAAAATAAACTTTAATTGAAACTTTTATTAAATTATTTTTCTTTTCAGATTTCTTTTTTTATTTTTTAACGATAAATTTTCTTAAATTGCTTTTTGTTATAAAAAAACTTAAAATCAATTTTATGCTCAAGTAAAATGAAAAAAAAAATAAACAGTTTTCCTAAAGAATTATTAACTTTGGGTTTTCCTTTTCTACTACAATAGCAACTAAAATTCATAAAAAATAAAATATTAAATACTATTATATGTGATGTACAATTATATATATATAAATAATATGTGTACATATGCTATTAAAATAAGAAATAATTTTTATGATTTCCTACTCCTTGAAATTCATGAAATCAAGGAATTTTTTAATTTTTTTTTTCATAAAAAAAAGAAGAAAAAAAAAAGAATCACAAATCGAAATCAAAAAATTTTTTATTAAACATTTTTTTTTAATGTGTACCTAGTTTTATAAGTAAAAATATATTTTTTTTTATTATAAGTTTTCATAGAAGTACATAACGTATACATACACTGCCTATAACATGATTAGATTGCTCATTCTGAAATTGTATTTACTGTTTGCAAAATTAACTTATTTAAAACTTCTGCAAAGTTTTTGGGCCTTCATAATTATGTATATCGAATTAAATTTACCAAAGCGTATAACTGCGCTAAGATCGTAAAATCATGAATTCACAGCTAGAATGTGGAATTTTTATTATGGCCGTAGTATTTATATCAGCCCAAAATGTGGTTTACACTTGTGTAATAGATTTTAAATTAAACAATGTGCCATATAACTTTTGAACCAGATGTTATATATATGGCATATTGAGTCGTTCGACCAATGAACCAGATGACATACATATATGACATTGTTATGAAAATTAAAATTTTTAAATTTAAACTAGATGTTTGCGCTACATTTCAAAATAAATTTCTGAACGTACTTTATTACAGTGAGTAAGATTTACATTTTCAGTCTGTGAAACGTACACTTTTTAAACGTGCTATGCAATTAAGAATTATTCTAGAACGAAATTTACAAAAACTCCTATATGTATATATTTCAGAATAGTTGGGGATGAAGATGGTATTAAAAGGTTTTTGGAAAACGATCTAATTATATATAGTATCTACTGATTTCAAATAAATAATTTTACAAAACAGTAAATATATAAAAAAAACTTCAAATTTAGGATGGTCCTAATCATGTTGTGCGGGAATCGTATATAATATAATAATATGTTATTTTAATGTACGTTATACAAAAAATTGTTTATTATTATTTTTTTTTTGTTTGTATTCGTTAAATGTCTAATTGATTTATTATAAATTTTTTAATAATAATTTTCATTCCTCACTTATTTTTGTTTAAAATTTTTTTTTAGTTTGATTTAATGCAAAATTTAAATAAAATATTAAATATGTATGCAATATTAATATTTATTTTTTAAAAAAAAAAATTAAAATTAAAATATTTTTATAATAAAATATTTATAAATTTTTTAAACATTTTATGCATAAAACATGTAATTATTTAAATGTACATAAATAAATGTATACATGATTATATATTTATTTATTTTTAACTAAAATTACAATATTTTTTGTTATACATATATATACACATAGTGTATACTTTTAATTAAACTTGTTACATGCATGCAATTTCAAAGGAAATTTTTACATATAAAAAAAATCTTTAATTTTTAAGAGTATAAGAGATTATTGTTTTTATGATTAATAGAAAATTCCGTATTTTTTTTTAATTTCTCGAAATAACATTGAAAATTTTATTTATTTTGTGTATTTAAAATTTAAGTGCTGTAATACAATGAGAATAACTTCTAGTATAATGATTAGTGATAAGATAAATTGAAATTGTCAAGAATAATTTTTCCTAAATTTATTTATTTATATATTCCGAACTTTTTATTCCGAACGTAAATTAACTCCAACATGTGCAATAATCCCAACGTATACATTATTTCGAATGTACAGTAATCCGAACACAATAATATTTATTGATCAAATTGTGTGCTCCTTACAATAAGTGATCGAGTGTGAAACAGAAAAGAACAAAATAAAAGCTTTGTTACATATAATGCAAGTAAATTTTTGTGTTACTGTTGTCACATTTCGTAAAAACAGCTTATAAGTGTATGCTTAGATTTATACCCAAACTCTTCTACCTAGATGAATATCAGACGACTCTTCTTGAGACTCTAGTCAAGAAGAGTCATATGATATATTTGTCAATTCTTCCACATTGAGTTTTTCGGGAAGCATTCTTTAGTGAATTTTGTTTTTGTTTGAGTTTTCTTTGTTTTGAGCAAGGATCAAAATTAGTCGAGCCACGATACAAGTTAAACTCTATATAGAATTTGTTTAGTTTTAAAATTCGAATATGTGCTTAATATTTTTTTTTTTAATATTTCTCTGTATTTGTATGATTGGTTCTTAGTTGAGCATATACATATATAATTATGGTATTGGAATAATAATGAAATTGTTTTTTCTATCAGAATTATTTTGTTTTAATTTAAAATTTAAATAAAAAAAAATTTATTAATATTTTTAAAAAAATATTCAATATATATATACATAATGTACACAAATGAATTTATATATACAATATTGTATTATTAAAGTTTATTTTATTTTTTAAATATGCCTACATTATTAATATTTATAATATATTACAGGTATACACATATGTTTAAAACACATGTATGTACATATTATGCGTAAATATGCATATTTAATATAAAAGTATATCTGTAAAATTTTATATCCATTGTGAATTATGTCAATTGTAAATATGTATGTACATACATATATATTATCTGCATACATTATAATAAATGTTTAAGAATAAATAAAATATTAAAATTGAAGTGTAAAATTTTTGAGTTATGGTAAACTTGTTATATAAAAATTTTCAATTATAAAATTAAATTTACTCTAAAAAAAAAAAAAATTAAAATAAAATAGCTCTAAATAATTCATTGAATAATAATGTTAAAAATTCAGAAAACAAAATTTAATATTTTGCTATTATAGCAACAAGAAGACTAATAAAACAAAGTTGGATAAAACCAATGCTTTGTAAGGTAGTACTTTTCTCTTCAATATGTTAAAATATTGCTATTGAAAATAATCTACTATATTTTAAGTAACCTTCATTCATGTACCAAAATATTTCAAACGATTGCATATATTTAGGATTAGATAAAAAAAAATTTTGAAATGGACGTTACGATAATGGTCGAAATCAAAGGTTGTCTGCACGAGTTAAAAAAAAAAAATTAAATTTTTTGATGACATGGCATTTACTATGAGCTTTTTGCATTTAAAGAAATTTGTGAAAGCTTACAGTTTAGGAAATATAAGATGCTGAACATTAATATTATTCAAATTTCGATCGATAGGAAAAAAAATTTTCTTGTGACGAAATAAATACCGCTTACGCTTACGGTCTAGAAGGAAAACGATATCAACAATTAAAAAAAATTGCTTTCAGATAACGTTTAATTTCAATGGCCATTTTGTCATTTCGATATTTTAAAAGATATAGAATTTGTATAAGCTAGTCTTCAGACGGACAGATGACGAACTGCTTTTCAAATTTTTTTTGAAATAGTACTAAAAAGTAGAGATAAAAATGTAATAAAAAGATAATAGAATCTTTGTTACCTTGACAAATTATTATATGTATGTACTTTTTTTTTCTAGAAAATTTGCAGACTTCAAAAAAAAGAAGCATGTAGATAAAAAATAAATTTTATGGAAGAAAAATTTGATTTTAAATTTTTGTAAAATTATTTAAAATGGGAAAATAAATGTGAAATTTAAGAATTTGTATGTATATATAAATTTTATGTAGCAATGTACAGGTACATAATATATGTATGTGTGCTTTGACATATTTGTGTACTTATTATCCTTTTGACATTAAAATAATTAATTTTTTTTTTTATGTCCCCTT